AAATAAAATAAAATAAAATAATAAAATAATAAAATAATAAAATAGAGTTTCCTAGGAGAGAAGCCAACTGTGCCTTCAGAAATGTAGATGTCGTTATTCAGGCAGATGCTAGGGGTTACAGAAGCAGGATTGATTAGTTTTAGCTTATCCCATGGTAGCTCATGAGAGCAGCGGTGCAAGGTGTTCATTTGCATCTCTGACCGAGCTGTAATGAATCATGAGAATCCACCTGCAAAGAAATACATTAGATATACAGCTCTCGAGCCGCTCTGCAGTTAGCTCATTGTGCTCCACCTTCATCTGCTGCTTGGTTGGCATGAGGTGGGATTGATCAGATGACAGAGGAACTATACCCCGAGTGGCTTATGTGAGCTGAATGGGAAGCAAATGATTCTTTTATCCTCAGTGTTTGCAAGTTCTGTTGCACTGGCATCCACCTGGTAGATTTTAACTTCTTTTTATTCTATTTCCAGCAAAACAAATACTCTTCAGGAGAACTCAGATGCTGTTCTTGCCCCTCGCTCCTCCTATCAAACAGTATGGGATATATTTGCTCGAGAGCCTGAATGGGAGAGGGATTCTTTTGTGCAAGGTGTTTTCCCAAGTGGTTTCCTCTGGGGCACATCCACAGGTGCCTTTAACATTGAAGGAGCTTGGGCAGCGGATGGGAAAGGAGAGAGCATCTGGGATCAGTCTGGGCATGCGGGTCATGTCTACATGAACCAAACAGCAGACGTGGCATGTGACAGCTACTATAAAACCAGCTATGACGTTCACCTGCTCAGGGGTCTTCATCCCCAACTGTACAAATTTTCTGTATCCTGGCCTAGAATTTTCCCCACTGGCACCAACGAGACCATCAATTCCAAGGGCGTTGATTATTACAGCCAGCTAATTAACCGGTTGCTAGACTCCAACATTGAGCCCATGGTGACTCTGTTCCACTGGGACCTCCCACAAGCTCTTCAGGTTCTTGGTGGCTGGCAGAATGACAGTATTGTCGATGCTTTTGTAAACTATGCAGACTTCTGCTTTGCCACTTTTGGGGATCGGGTCAAGTTCTGGATTACTTTCCATGAGCCTTGGGTTATCAGCTACGCTGGTTATGGCACCGGAGAGCATCCTCCAGGAATCACTGACCCAGGAGTAGCATCTTACAAGGTAGGGACATGGGAATAACTAGGATCCTGCAGGTGCTGTGGTTGTGTTGTTTTCCTCTGATGTCCTTACTTCAATTTTGTTCAAGCCTAGTGTGATGTCTGAGACAGCTTCTGGCTTGTTGGACTTACAATACTTGCAAAAAAATGGGGTAGTTAATGGATTTCAGATGTATTTATTTTATTCTTCTATTCTGAAGGCTGAGGTTGATGTATAGCCAGATGCTTCTGCTTAATTCAGAACCTTCTGCACTATTGCTATGATTATTTGTTTTGTCAAGACATCTTCTTTTGGATGGAGAAGATGTTCTCACATGGCAAGAATCTCAATGCCTAAGAGTTCTTGTGCAAAGCAGCGTGACACATTCCTCTACTTTCTGTCCCCAGGTGGCTCACACAATTCTCAAAGCTCATGCCAAGGTCTGGCACCTGTATAATGACAAATACCGCTCTCAGCAACTGGGAAAAGTGGGGCTGGTGCTGAACTCAGATTGGGCTGAACCCAGGACTCCATACAACTCTGAGGATGTGAGGGCATCTGAGAGGTACCTGCAGTTCATGCTTGGCTGGTTTGCTCACCCTATATTTGTTAATGGTGATTATCCAGATATCCTGAAGGCTCAGATCCAAGAAGTAAACCAGCAGTGTTCCACAACAGTTGCGGAGCTGCCTCTCTTTACAGAGGAGGAGAAGTCCTGGGTGAAAGGGACTGCAGATTTTTTTGGTCTTTCCCATTACACTTCCCACTTGGTCAGTGCTGAGACTTCCGGGACCTGCACACCAGTCTACAAGAGCATCGGGAACTTCTCCTTGCATGTAGATCCTTCTTGGCCACAGACTGCCTCTCCTTGGATCCATGTGGTCCCCTGGGGATTAAGAAGGCTGCTGAAGTTTGTGTCCCTGGAATATACAGGGACAAAGATACCAATTTACATAGCAGGAAATGGAATGCCCACGGAAGACACGGGAGATCTTTTAAATGACACTCAGCGAGTGGATTATTTCCGCCGGTATATCAATGAGGCTCTAAAAGGTATGGAGGAAATTTTATTTTATTTTTCTTAATAAATGCAAATAGTTATTCTCTCACTTCCATGGTGGTGAACTTTAAAACGTCACCTCCTGCATAGTGGTATGAATTCAGCTGCCCTTTGTGTGCATAGTGTGACCTCGAATGCTTCAGCCTCTCTGGTGTCCAGATATGGAACTCTCTGTTCTGTTCAGATACGGGCTTTTTCATATACAGATAAATGTAGCCTGGACCCTGATGTCAGTCCCTCTGTGAGAACGGTGTTTTTATAACCCGGCTCCCCGATGATGATTTGTCTGCAGGCAGACTCTTGCCTACAGAGATCTCATAGATTGGGATTGAACAATGTCTTTACTGATGAAGCATCTTGCACCGTTTCGGGTTAGAAGTCTTAGGGAGGTATTTATAGCTCAATTGTTTCTAGCGAAGTTCAACGTATACTTGTATCTTTGCAAACTGTGTATCAATTGACACAAAAATATTAGTGGCTGAATTTCTGGACAGGTATAGAGATTTGAGATTTCAGATAGAGATTCGACTGATACTGCCTTGAGATACACAAGTCAATACTGTCAGGAAAGCTTTATTAAATATTCTGTATTAAATAGGTTGATGATCAGCGTACAGTATTTGATCTTCACCTAGTTCTCAACATACTAATAGAAGTGCTACAGAAAGTACATTTTAGCATTGCTATTATGCCTCAGGAGAAGTAAAGAAGATGGACTGTGTAAGGGAATGAGAGAGATTTAGTGCTTTCTTTGTAGGCGGTGTGAGGAAGGATGCTGGCCTTAGCTCTGCTTGTATTGGATACACTGCTCTTCTGAAAGAAGCTTACCTGTGTTCAGGGAAGATAGGCAAGCACTAAATACATGTAATGTTTCGGTTAACTACAGTGCTAAATCAAGAAGCGCACTGTATACCTAAATCAAAGAATTGTGCTTGAAAACAAGAACACAGGGAAAGGGATACCAGTGGCACAAGTGTCCTGTACTTAGATATCTCTTGACTTATATTTCTTCTCTCAGGCATTTTTATCACTAAGCATTTGACCAGCTCCTATTACAGTGCTGACTGCTTTTCTTGCCAGATACTCTAATTGTTTAGTTTTGTTGTTTGAGGGTTTTTTTTGCCTAGAAGATCATTTGTAGATGTTTGGCTTATTGTACTGTTGTCTTCAGCTCTAGTGCTTATGTTGTGTTGTGCTGTGCTCAGAAAATGTTCAAATGAGTAACGGTGCCTTGTACTGTTTCTGTAACAGCGGTGAAACTAGACACGGTTGATGTACGGTCATATATTGCTCGATCCCTGGTTGATGGCTTTGAAGGCCCAGAGGGCTATAGCTTGAAATTTGGGCTGCATCATGTGAATTTTGAAGATAGCAACAGACCAAGGACTCCCAAGGCATCTGCTTATTTCTATTCTGGTGTTATTGAAAAAAATGGTTTCCCATCCAAAGTCTTGGACAGATCTTCTACACCAGTTGGGTTTGACATACCCACACCATCCAAGCTGCCGAGTTTACCAGCATCAGAAGTTCCCTCCAAGTCAAAGATTGTCTGGGAGAAGTTTTCATCTCAAACAAACTTTGAAAGGGATATGTACTTTTATGGGACATTCCCAGAGGACTTTTCATGGGGTGTGTCTTCTTCTAGCTACCAGATAGAGGGAGGCTGGGATGCTGATGGCAAAGGACCCAGCATTTGGGATAACTTCACCCATGTCCCAGGGAATGTAAATAACAATGATACTGGAGATATAGCTTGTGATAGCTACCACAAGGTGGAAGAAGATATCTACCTGCTGAGAGCCTTAGGAGTAAAGAACTATCGTTTTTCCCTGTCCTGGCCTCGAATTTTCCCCAATGGAAGGAACAACTCAATAAACAGCTATGGAGTTGACTACTATAACCGTCTAATTGATGGACTGGTTGCGAACAACATCACGCCAATCGTCACTCTCTACCACTGGGACCTGCCACAAGCTCTCCAGGACATCGGTGGCTGGGAGAGCAACGCACTGATCGACCTGTTTGATAGCTTTGCGGACTTCTGTTTCCAGACTTTTGGGGACAGGGTGAAGTTCTGGATTACCTTCAACGAGCCCTACATCATTGCCTGGCTTGGCTATGGCACTGGGTATTTTCCACCCAACGTCAAAGACCCTGGCAGTGCTCCCTACAAGGTTGCCCACATCTTACTGAAAGCTCACGCCAGGGCCTACCACACGTACGATGACAAATACCGAGCGAGTCAGGGAGGCGTCATTACTCTGTGTCCCTACATTGACTGGGTTGAGCCACAGACACCAAGCGACCCCAGGGACGTAGAAGCTGCAGACAGGTACCTGCAGTTCATGGTGGGGTGGTTTGCGCACCCGATTTTCAAAAATGGGGACTACCCCGAGGTCATGAAGTGGAAAGTTGGGAACAGGAGTGAGCTCCAGAACCTGCCGTCGTCTCGCCTACCGGTTTTCACAGCAGAGGAGCGTGAATACATCAGGGGCACGGCAGATGTTTTCTGCTTCAACACCTACACCACCAAAATTGTAACCCATGCAACGAGCCAGCTGAGGCCCTTCTCTTATGAGTATGACAGGGAAGTTTCAATAAAGGTTGACAGCTCCTGGCCTTCCTCAGCTCTTACTGGCCATCATCCTGTGGCCTGGGGGATGAGGAGGTTACTGAACTGGATCAAAGAAGAATATGGAAACCCCCCAATATACGTCATTGAGAATGGGGTGGGGATAAAGACCAACTCGGATGTTGATGACAATGCCAGGATATTTTACTACAAAACATACATTGATGAAGCTTTAAAAGGTACCGATGTTTGCTTTTGTGCTGTTGGTGTTGTAGGTCTCCTCTCTAGATTTCTGGTTACTTTATTCCTCCAAAGAGTAGTTTTTAAAAGTGATTGATAACGGTCTTTAAATATTCTGAAGACAATATATACGTAGCATTTCTTTTTATCATCTCCTTTGCATGGCCGTTTGTGTGCTCCAACTATGAAGAGTCTCTTGCTGATCTTAGCTGACCAGTGCCAGCTTTATAAAACTGGAAGTGTGCGTGTGCCTCTGTGTGAATTCCTTGTGGTGCATAAAATGTGTGATTACACCACTGATGCACTGATGCATTTTTCCTGGTCTTTCAGCTTACAGACTGGATGGTGTTAATCTGAGAGGATACAACGCTTGGTCTGCTATGGATAATTTTGAATGGGTGGACGGTTATGATCCAAGATTTGGATTGTACCAGGTTGATTTTGACAATCCCAACAGGCCAAGAACCCCAAAGCGCTCTGCTGTGTACTATGCAGAAATCATCCGCAATAACGGCATCCCATTGCCAAAAGAAGATGAATTTTTATATGGAGAGTTTCCAAAGAACTTTTTATGGAGTGTAGCAACTTCTGCATATCAGGTTAGGAAACTGAGATGGACCTCAAAGTGTCTGTGGACAGTTAGGAGATTTCAGATGAGACACCTACAGCTTTTGTAACATTAGGTTTTACCGTAATTCAGGGTATAGTGTAACAACCACTGTAAAAGGGAGGAACTTGGAGATATTTAAAGGCATATTTGTAACAGGAATTGAGACAGCAGCATGAGCTTCACAAGAGCCAGCCAACACAGAGCAGCAGGTGAACTGAAACGGTGCCTGTTCTGTGGCATTGTCTTTGCTCATACATCTTACCTTGAGGCCCAAGAGGTCTTACTAGTTTGGTACCGCAAAAACATTGCTATTTCTGGTCTTAAGCTAAGTAAAAAATTCGTGTGGTGTCACAAAGACTAATGGACTGAATTCTTTGCTAGGCTAAGGCCTAAATTTGGGGCTTACTAACAATTCCTCCCACCCTGATCTTCAATTACAGATTGAGGGAGGATGGAGAGCAGATGGGAAAGGACTGAGCATTTGGGACCAATTTTCTCACACTCCCTTGAAAATCAGCAATGACGACACTGGAGATGTAGCTTGTGACAGCTACCACAAGATTGAGGAGGATGTGAAAATGCTGAAAAACCTCAAGGTGTCTCACTATCGGTTTTCAATCTCCTGGTCCCGCATTCTTCCAGATGGGACCACCAGATACATCAATGAAATGGGACTGAACTACTATGAAAGGCTTATTGATGCTCTTCTGGCAGCTAACATTAAGCCTCAGGTAACTAAACCCGGTAACTTTCCGCTAACTAAAAAAATAGCAGAACCCAGGTCTGATGCTCAGAGCACACGTGTGTATTTCTCTGTGAAGGAGGGCATGGATGGAAACTGTTTTTCATTATTTTCTGCAAGGAAACATGCATTTTGCATAAGCAAAAGAACTAGGAATATAGTGATTTGTTAGAAATTACTACCCAGAAAGATCACAGTAAACTTACTGTTGGCTGTTTCCAATTACCTTCTCACCCCTCGTGCTTGGAAGTGGATTCCACAAAGACCTTCTCAATGATCTTTCCAGGGACTGAGATGGAGCCAACCAACCTGTATTTCCCAAGATCCCTCTTCTTGCCTTTCTTGGAGATGAATGTAACGTTATTCTTTTCCCAGGAGCCGGGAATCTCCACTGATCAGCATGGTTTGTCACATATAACGGACAGTGACCTCACCACTGCATCAATCAGCAATTTCAGCACTGTTGAGTGAATCTGACCTCTCCCCACAGACCCGTGTGGCTTTTTTCTGCTTCTGCCTGCTGCTTCCTCTCTGCTGGCTGTCCCCACGGGGAGCGCGCAAGGCTGCACCAAACGCTGCTTGTGTGCGTCTGCGCACACTGACAAGTTCTTGCTAGCACAAGGTTGTAGTGCTTTATGGGAAAAGTTTCGTCTTCACCGTCAGGCAGTCCCTAGAGTTTCAGTCATTTCCCTGTGTTCTAAAGAAACTGAAACACTGGCAAAAAGGTATTTTACCTGAGTGCGTGAGGGATCGCTACAAACTCAAACGCCGTTAGGAACAGGTAGATGTGGGTGAAAGCGCAGTTTATTTATATTCATAAATGAGGCTGGGTTGCTGTCTCCATTTCCGAAAGTAGGAGTGACTGGTTGAGTCCTTTCTCTTGCTGCTTTTCCCCACAGGTAACTCTCTACCACTGGGACCTCCCTCAGGCGCTGCAGAACGTTGGTGGCTGGGAGAACGATACTATAGTTCAGAGGTTTAAGGAATATGCTGAGCTCCTTTTCCAGAGACTGGGAGATAAAGTGAAATTCTGGATAACCCTCAATGAACCCTACAACACTGCGTATCTTGGCTATGGTGTTGGCACAGCTGCGCCAGGTAAGACTGCTGGGCGTTAAGCCCAGAGCTGTCACAGCACGGTAGGCACAAGGCTGGTTTCTGCTGCAGCCGAGTCAATGCTAGGGGCTTGCACAGGTGAGTGTGGTGGGGATAAATGGGGTCTGGACTGTCGTGGTGTGGTGAATAGGTCCTTCTTTCACTTTGCCTGTCCCCTCCAAGACCCGTCCTTCTTCTTCCACTCCTCTAATCCACTCTTCCTTTGAAACCTCCAGGTGACGCTCGCTCTCTGGAGCAGACCCTGTATCCAGACCAGCTCCAGGGACTGTGGAGAAGGGTTAGGGCTGGAGGAGACCAAGCTGTAGAGTAGAAGCAGGGGAAGGAGAGGGATGGGATCTGGCCTGAACACACCAGAAAATCTGCTCTCTGTGCTGGTGGCAGCAGCCTGTTGCTGGGGCTGGCAGCCCTGCGTGGGCAGAAGGCTGAGCCAGCCTGTGTCCCACCACAGAGGGAGGAGGGAATGATGCAGGGTCCCTCACAGCCTGCCCCTGCAGCTGCACCTCCAGCTGTCTCTGCTGAAGCAATGATTCAGCCCAGGGTTGGGCCTGAGGGCACCGGCTGCTGCACATTTACTCATTTACCAGTGAGCACACAGGTGTCCTGGGGGTGGTGTTGGCCTGGGAAGCAACTGGGAAAGCTGGGATCAGCTGCTCCACTGCCTGTGCTCCCCATGTCTCCACAGGCATCTCGGTTCGGCCAGGGCGAGCTCCCTATGTGGTGGGGCACAACTTAATAAAGGCCCATGCGGAAGCATGGCACCTCTACAATGAGACCTATCGGGCAAAACAAGGAGGATTAATCTCTATCGCCATCAACTCTGACTGGGCAGAGCCAAGAAACCCACACAAACAGGAGGATGTTGATGCTGCCGCGAGATACTTGCAGGTACAAACACTTGGTCGCAGCTCTCTCCGCCCCTCCTGGGTTTGTTTGTGGTGGTAGCCCCACTCTAGGGCTTGGAGATGCCCAGAACCCGACTCACTGAACTAAAAAGGATAAGCCAGAGGCATCACTACAAGGAAATGTATCACCCTCTTCTGGTCACTGATCAAATATGCAGCAGAAATGAGGTAAAATATGGTTGCAGTGATAAAAGCTTATTAAATTTACTGCTATTATATGGGCATCTCTGGGTATCTCCATGTGCCTGCTCGTTATAAATTCAGGTACAGCTTATAAAGCAGCACATGAAAGAGAATGGTTAAGTCCCTTGTTTTGATACATAAATTTATCCTTCTTCCTTATTTCCTGCCTCAGTTTCTTTTAGGTTGGTTTGCTCATCCCATCTTCAAAAATGGTGACTATAATGAAGTGATGAAAACAAGGATTCGGGAGCGTAGTCTGGCTCAGGGTCTGAACCAGTCCCGGTAAGAGCCCAGGCACACATCTGCTTGAGTTTTATGTGCTGTGCTGAAACCTTCTTTTCTGATAGAAGTGCTAAATTTCAATGATTCTACTGCAATGTTACCATAAAATTCTTACAGAAAAACTCTAGTATATGTTTTGCCTGCTCACTGTCCTTATCTCTCTTGCAAACTAAATCTGCTAATATACTGTGGAGTAATAAGTTGGCAGCTCAGAGGGATCCAGTAAATGCTCTGCACTAGACGGTGCTTTACCTGACACTCATGGTAACTGTGTTTTGGCTTTTCTTGAAACTATGTACACAACTCGAGCATATTGGTCCCTCTGAACTGCATTTCTTATTTTCCATTCCCATTAATTATTGTTAATGTTATTGTGCTAGCAGTGGTCCATCACGTATGATTTCCCTTTTCTCTCCCTTTCCAGGCATGTACAAGGAAAGCACTTTCTTCCCTTTTCACATCAATAGCAATTTCATGGGGTAGATTTTATATTAGATCTGAGGCTATTCCTGTCATTCCTTTCTGAAAATGTGAAAGACTGTTTTGAAATGAGCAGGATGGTGGAAAAACCAGCAGGGGCAAGTCTCTTCAAGATTTCAGTTATGCTTTTGTATTTGCTTAAAACGCTAAAAGTGCACTTTTTTGACACCTTATTTCTTCTGTGGCAGTTGCTGCCAGTAACAAGAGAGCAAAGCCGTGTGTGTTGCTTTATGAGGTAATGTGCCCAAGCATCTCCACCTGAGGAAGGAGCCCTGTCCTCAGTCAAAGACGGCAAACTCACCGGCATCAGCACCTAGCCAGGAGCACTGGCTGCGTTTTCAGCAGAGCTTTCCTAGGGACCTAATTCCCAGGAGGATTTTCTCCTTATTCTGGTTAAAAGAGAACCGGAACAGGACTGCCTGGATGTCTCCAGCTGCTGAGAGGCACCTTTCCATGTTTCCCTCAGTCAGAGCTAGTGGTGGTGGGCCCCGAGACAGGTCACCCCGAACACTGCAGCTCTGGGTCTCCGTAGGCGTGTGGTGAGCACACAACAACCAAAATGATTGTCGCCAGTTCCTCCCAACATGTTCCTGACTGGGCAAATGCTGTTTTCTTGTCTTACAAAGCAGGGATGATGGTCAAACTGCTTGTCTGACCATTGGCAGGACTTCTAGCTGGGAGGTGTCTCTCTTTTGGTCGGTGAAAGGGCTGTTCCTTTCGGAGAACATTAGAGCTGGCAGCATGAAGTGCATTTTCGGAGAGAAGCTTGGTTTATACAACAGGACTGGAGAGATGTAGAGGCAAAAGAAGGGGGAATCCTGAGGAGACTTAGCATAAACCCCTCAAAATGTTTTCTCTATTTTGTCTTGCAGACTTCCAGAATTTACTGAAAGTGAAAAGCAGAGAATCAAAGGCACATATGACTACTTTGGTCTAAATCATTACACCACAGTTTTAGCATACAACTTCAACTACGCTGCTGGCATTCTGTCGTATGACTCTGATAGGTAAGAGATCGATGTAAATTATTGCTTATGTAAAACATCCATACCTGGAGCTTGGGCCAGCTGAGCAATTTAAACTGATAGCAAAAAAAAATCTGTGACACTGAGATTTTAAGCTATTCTAACCAATATGGGGGAAAATATTCCCAAACAGCACCTGTGGTCCTGTTACTTTCCAGCAACAGCTTTTTTTTTAACACACGATGATAAACATGTATGTTTGAAATAGAATAAAGAAAATGACTAAAGGAAGGAATCTGCACTTTTGAGTTTCCCAATGGTTTGAGATCAGCTGTAAACAATATTTATCATATTCTCTGCCCTAAGTCTGCCATCTGAGCTGTTAGATGATCCTGGTTTATAGATATTGCTCCGTTTGCTCTTAAACAGTTGTTAGTTCCCTCAACACATTGGATAAATGTAATTTCAAAGCCTGAACAGTTAAATCACGTCATGGTTAAGTATATGTAAGTCAGGTTTCTTATTTAGATGCCAATTTCTTTCCCTGGCTTCAAAAGGTAAACGATAGGAGCTTTCTAGGTTTTTTTCTGATGAGAATCAAGTAATGGTGGGACCACACATGGGAGTGAACGTAGGCTGTTTTCTGAAATGTTTCCGCAGAGATTATATGACATTGTGATTTCCCTGTGCTGCTGCATCCCCCTGAGCACCACCTCATCTCCCCCATGCTTTCACCATCCCTGGTTCAGTTTTCCGCAGAGCTCAGCACTGGATTTCTCAGCCCTGCAGCGATGAGGTGGCAGGCACTGGGAGCAGTCCCTTGATCAAGTGCATCCTCCTTCGCAGGGGTGTAGCGACAATAAGTGACCGCAGCTGGCTGAGCTCTGGCTCCCTCTGGCTGAAGGTGACTCCCTTTGGTTTCCGGAAGCTCCTGAGATGGATAAAGGACGAGTACAACAACCCTCCCATTTATGTGACGGAAAATGGGGTCTCAGAAAGGGGAGCTGTAGACTTCAATGACACTTGGCGAACACATTACTATCGGAGCTACATTAATGAAGCACTTAAAGGTAAGAAAGATTATTTAAATCTGGTCATCCAAAGGTCTGGAGAGGGGCAGTGTCTCACCACATGACTAGCATATGTAAAGCAAGATGCGAAGAGCTGCAAGGTCACTGCCATCACACTTGGAAGTTACACACTCACGTAGATTTACTCTGTATCCACTTCTGAGAGCCTTTGTTTTAGAAATGACCTTGCAGGGAAAGGCGATCTAAAGGAAGAACAGAATTTGGGTCTAGTAGGGTACAGCTGCGTCTGTCAAGAGAAGGTACTGCTGCTAGATGAGTACCTGTTTGGACTTCTAGTTTTTGACTACTGCTGTGTGTAAGAGCTGTATCTTTTTAAAAAACAGAAAATTATCCTGAGACTGGCTTGTCAGAGCAGTGGTTGAGCCACACTGGGGAAGGGTTTGTGGGGGTTTTATTCAGTTTTTTTCTCTGATGTACTGGGAGCTGCTGGTCAGATGTTCAGAAAGTGCTCCTTTACTGCCTTTCAGCAGTGAGGCTCCACAAGCACTTGTTTAAAACACTATTTATGCGTTAATGGCTTTTCTTCTTTATTATTAAATTTTGGGTTATTGGACAAAAGCTTTTATTTTTTAAGCAGAGGAAAGCAGTCTCCAATACTGGCAGACCAACTGAGCTAACGTGGTTGCTCGTTAGCTGTAACTTGGCAGCTGAACTACCTGAAAGCAACCGAGCTAAGGCAACATGTGAGAAAGGTGGGAATGGGGAGACGGCAAAACCAACAGGGGCCAAGTCACAATAAGTTCATAGCACTTGGCCCCCTGCTGATGTGTGTGTCTTGGAGCAGCTTCGTGCAGCTGCTGGTGACACCGCCTGTTGCCTGGCTGCGGGACTGACCTGTTCTCTCTGGTCCCGGTAACAGCTGTTGTGCTCGATGGCATTGACTTACGAGGCTACGCTGCGTGGACACTGATGGACAACTTCGAGTGGGCAGTGGGCTTTGATGAAAAGTTTGGGTTTTATCACGTGAATTTCACAGACCCTGCCTTGCCACGGCACCCCAAGGCCTCTGCCAGGTATTACTCACAGATCATTAACTGCAACGGGTTTCCAGACCCTGCAGCGGGACCACATCCCTGTCTGGAACTGGAGCCTGAAGGTAAGCAGTGCGTGCAGCAGAAACTGTGTGTTTATCTCATTGTAATCCTTTGGGTTAGAGTCTCATCTGGGTGTAATCTGATTTCCATAATCTACGGTCTTTATACAACAAGAAATAATGGGGTTTAAGTTAGAACATGGGAAGTTCCATCTCAACAATAAGAGAAACTTGTTGGCTGTGTGGGTGCCGGAGCCCTGGCCCAGGCTGCCCAGAGAGGGTGTGGAGCCTCCTGCTCCGGAGACTTTCAAACCCACCCGGACACGTTCCTGTGTGGCTGCCCTGGGTGACCCTGCTCTGGCAGGGGGTTGGACTGGGTGATCTTTTGAAGTCCCTTCTAACCCCAAACATCCTATGATTCTATGACCTGGAATTATGTCACTTCTGCATGCAAAACCAGAATGACTACATATGGTGTGACAGCACCTCCATACGTGCCCGTCTCAGAAAACGCAGCAAAAAAGTTAATCCATTATACTTTTCTCTGATTAACAGAACTGCCTTTTTTCCAAACCTCATGTTTAGTATTCCCACACCATTTTTTCTAAACAATTTTGAATACTTTGTACAAATTAGTGTTTTGAGTAAGCCTTCTGAAATTTGATTCTTTGCACTATTTAAGTTCTCCGACTGCACTGAGCAGCAACCGTTTCAATGCAGTGTTCTAAAATAATTGGGTTTTTATCAGCTTTCTGGAATGACTGAGGTGCCAGAAATACTTACATCTCCTAGAGTCTTGAGTTACACTGTGAGCCTCAGCTGTGTCTTTACTCTGAGCTGGGACTGTATCAGTCTCTGGTCCCAAGGAATTACAGCTGCTGCCCAAGTACAGAACAGCAACACAGAGAATCTTGTCGAGGCAGGAAGCAGCAACACGACACACTCCGGGCTCTGTGCTAACCCCTTCTTTTTGTTTTCCCACGGACAGTGACACCGACCGATTCCACACCGGGACTGGCTGACAGCGTGAGCTTTCTGGGATTAGATTTAACATCACAAAGTGCAGAAGTAGCACTGTACGTGCTTTTTGCTCTTTCTGCAGTTGGAGCATTGGGCTTGGTTCTTTTTGCATATAAATATAGAAAATTATCCAGAAGCTCCGCTAAACGATCACATACGGAACTTACTAAAATGTAACATTTTCATTTGCTAATGTATTTGGTTTGTGGCTGTTGTTTTTTATTTTATTGAAATCAGAGGGGCACCAGGAAAAGACCCAGTTCTTAAACTGCTGCAATTTTATCTTGCTTTAGAGACAGCTCCCCATCATTTTTTTGTTTGCTTACCAATGTTAAAATATGAAGGAAATGGTTTTTTTTTCTGCATAACCGCCTCTTTACTTCCACGGCATTATTGATTTAATTTCTTAAAAGACAAAAGTAAAATTGTGTTTTCCCCCGTGTATAAGGATTCTGAACTTGAACTTTCCTCTATTCTTGTTTCATCATCTCTCCTTGGATGATGGTTTCTTCCAGGGTTCAGCCCTAGAAGTTCTACTGCTGCTTTCTGGTTTTAAGACAAGTTACTCATCTATACTGGCAAAAACAGAGCTAGGAGAACATACTGTTGTATTGGTCTTCTGTCCCCTACCTTTATTTCATATACAGTGGTTTTTTGAGTTATGTATCACACATTATTAAAAAATAATGCAAGTGGCCCCAGGTGTATGCCTTAACATTTAAACAGAGTGGAATACTTAATTAAATCTCCTTAACAGAGGAATGTGAAGCAGCACAGAACATCTGTAATATCTGGGTCTCTAACAATGAGATGCACAGTGCCGGGGGAGCAGGGGGAAGGCTGGTACCCTTCCCTCAAAATAAGCACCGTTCCAATGTATTTGTTTTATGTGATAAAGACCCATTGTTTTTCTTCCTTAACCCAAAACACTTATTACAGATGTGCTTTACCAGATTTTAATAGAAACAACTCCCAGGTAAGGTCATTTAAATCGGAATAAAAAGTTTGTCTGGATATTTTAAATTTCAGTGTATGATTGTAGAGTATATGACAGGAGATTGTAGCAAGGTGGGTGGGGGTCAGTCTCTTTTCCCAATTAACAAACAAGAGGAAATGGCCTAAAAGTTGTTGCACCAAGTTTAGATTGGATATTAGGAAAGATTTCTTCACCAAAAGGGTTGTCAAGCACTGGCACAGGCTGCCTAGGGACTTGGCCACCATCCCTGAAGGTATTTTAAAAAAATGTGTAGGTGCAGTGCTAAGGGACATGGTCTGTGGTGGACCTGGCAGTGTTAGGTTAATGGTTGGATTTAATCACCTTAAAGGTCTTTTCTGACCCTATTTACACTGTAGTTCTCTAATCCTTACAGCTTGCTTCCTTGTGACCCAAGTACTTCAGATGAACTTCACAAGAGAAGACAGTTATGTTTTCTGGAAAATAGTTTATTGAGTGCTTGGGGAATTCCCCAAAAACTACAAGGTTTTGCTTGCAGTTGCAGGAAGCAAGAAAAATTAAACATAAATTAGTTATCTGATTTGCTACTATAGTGCTTCTGAAACCCTCATTTTAATCAGTCATTGCCTACTATGACCATTATATTAATATCTGGCCCTTTATGTAGCAGAATATATTTATAGATTAAAAAGTGCCTTTCTACGGCAGTAGGGTAACAATTAGGAAAGCTGATGGGAGATTTTCACTCTTTTTACCTCTTTGCTTCTAGGCCTTGGCTACACTCACTCCACTTTTCTGATTTAGGTGATTTTATTCCATACTCCACTGCAGGAATAAGAATTTAAGTGATTCAGTCAGTGTGAAATAAGCCCTGCTTATCCAGAAGCTTTAGTTGATTTAGATCAAATGAGGAAAAAAAAAGACCCAGACAGTGATTACTGCAGTTACTCGAAACTACATTTGTTGTGTAGAATTTCCATTCCAGGTATTGTTTTCATCTTCTCCATCATCTTGAGTCCTCAGTCTATATATTTTGCCTTCTTTTTTGAAGTCTTCTCCCCGCTTTTCCACTACTCGTTTCCTGACTGCTTGCCTAGGGTACAATGACAATGAGGTTTAACAGTTTCCCTGGTAATAATTACACAAGAGAAGCAAATGAAATAAATGCAAATGATGCATCCTTCCTTCTCTTATCCCCAATAACAGTTTTCTTCAGCCCTCTGTTTCCTTGGGAAGCAACACGCAGCTAGAAATTTGTCATTTAGCACTCAGACAAACTGGCAGAATCTCATTTTCCCTGGAAAGCCCCTGTCATGGCAGCTTCACATGAGACAGCCCAGGAGCTCTCCTGGTGCAGGGGGCCCTCTCATTCACAAGGCAATACAAAACCTGAACTGTCAAAAGCAGACTTCAGTGGTGTGGGTTTCCTGTACAACCATACCATGAAAATTTGACATCTCATCTTCAATATTTTTATCTCCCAAGCAGTATCAGCTGAAGTGAAGCCCAGAGGTAGTCGCAGCCAAACTCCCTACTCATAAATGACTGCAAGACAATGCTTTTTCTACTTTATAACTGGAAACTGAAGCAAACAAGGAGCTTGCTTAATCACACACCCAAAACCAGAGAAATCCAAGTCAGAGCTGTCATGCAGTTTCTCAGCCATGAGGTTAACCCCTTTAACCAGGCAGAAGGCTGGTGGCCAGAAACTACAAGGAGAGGGCAGGAGTTAAAAGACAGATACAGGTCAGTTCTCCACTACAAGATAAAAACAACTGCTGCAAACAGTTTGAGAACCAGCTGCCTTATGCAGCGTTGATTACCTGCTTTGCTCAACACTGCTGGATGCTGAAGGATTTGAATGGTCTTGCTGATGAGCTGCTCTCACAGCAGACTGTGCGGGGGGCGGACTTGTAAAAAGGAAGTTGCTAATGAATCTCCAAACTGCTAAGAGGGGATAAAGTATGGTGCCCAGGAACTTCCACAGATCACTGCCCGAAGCCTGAACAACAGAAGTAGCAGGTCTTCCCGCCTGGTCACAAACACATAAAGCAAATCTGTCAGATATTAAAGTCATGCAACTGCAGACAGAGTATTTCAGCTCTAGTTTAGAAACAGCTCAGAAGACACACGAGAACTCCCTTGGTTACACATTAGACACCATTAGACACATCTATGCCACCATTTATCTGGTTCAGAAAAAAATCTTCCAAATCCATCCTGACAAAAACCAATTTCGCAGTCTGACACAGAAAAGACCAACATTCAAGCCAAGTATTATCATAGCTGATTAATAAACCATACCTAACTACAGTACTGCTGTTTGCAACAAAATGGAAAGCAAATAAAACAACCCCCCAACACCTACCGGCAGCAACACTACTGAAGCACTGGGCGCTAACTCTAGTTCCAGTAACTTCTTTCCATAATCTTCTTTGGTAAACTCCCTTCTGGGAAACATTGTCGCCAGTGAAAAATTGCCGTAAGTATTACCAACCGTCTATGAAAATAGAGAAAACATTTTATCTGTAGGTGTTAACTTTCAAACAACTGCTGATTTGCCATTTCAGTAGCGTACCCTGCCATATCGACCCAAGAGTTCTATATCGAATTGTCATTCATCTTATGTAGAGAATTGAAGGATTTTTCATATCCTACTCTCTCTTACTAATGATACACTGCAGTAATACAAGGGCAGCTGGTGGCATTGGAAGAGGCTGCCAACAAACCCCTCCCCTCAAATAAACAAAAAGGAAAGCAGTTGATAACAATTCCACCGCAATCAACAACTAGCTGGTGCTACAAAAAGTTGTAATCAGCACAGAGCCGAGAAAACAAAACGCCAAATTACCTGTGCAGCAAACTGCCTCGCCTCTTCCAGCCGTGCTTCAGATGGGAACTGGTTAGTAAAGGAAGATCCATCTGGGAGGCGGAACTGAATCCTGGCTATTGCACTGCAGGACATAGATTGGGGTCAGTTGGCAAATCAACAGTTAGAGGCAAATGCTCCTGGGGCTTTAGCTCGATAGTACTGAACTGTGGAAGAGGGACAGTCATCCTACGGATGGCAGTGCAAATAATTCTAAGTTTGGATTCACAACTGATAACCACCTGATGCACCTCACAGTGCATCTCAAGTCCAAGACCCATCACCATCCAAACAATAATAATTAAAAAAGTGAGTGAAATATAAACCATATTTCTTTTGTATAGCCTGTATTACATTTGTTCTTCTATCGAGAAGTTGTACTATGAGGGCACAGGCATTTAAGCTGCCTTGGCAAGTAACTCTGTAGTCAACTAGCTATGGCCCAGCACTCCTGGCTGAGTTTCTGTGCCAACACAGGCTGTCACTCCCATGCTCGCCCTCTCTTCAGGGGCAGTACAAGACTCATGTTGGCTCCATTACTCCACAGAAGATCTCTGTACCTTAGAATATTTCTTAAAACAGTAGTGTTGGGGAAAACAGGAGACAGCTCATGACCTCAACCAAGCATCTTTGAATCAAAGCCCACTGTGCACACAGCTGGGTTGGCACCATGCTCCCCAGCACAGTTTCTGACATTATCGAGTCATTGTGTCTAGTCTTTATCGATCACACTCTCACCTTATCTAGATCCCCACCTAGCTCTATTATACATGGTATTTAAATCAAAGATCAGACAGAAAAAGGTCTTGTCTAAGTAGAATAACGCACAAGGAAAGGTGATTAAAGTTTTCAGAGAACATAATATTCATATAAATAACTATGAATAAATATTATAAAAAGAAAGCCAACGTTTAGTGTAACTGTTTAAACAGTTCAACATAGCATCAATTAACAGATTAGGATACATATTACATCTCTTGGAAGTCTAAGTTTCTTAGAAGTCTAAGTTTCTTTACTGCTCTCCTCCAAACTAACGCACTTTTTTCTCTACAGCAACTCACCTTCGTTCCTTTTGAGATGCTTCTTTCCTGGGCTCTATTTCAGCTTGCTTAGCCTGAAGAGCTGCAGCTTTTGCAGCTTCTGCTTCTTCCTTTGATTTTGCAAAGCGAGCTGCTCTCTCAGCACGATCCTTTGAGAGGACCAAACAGAAAAAGTAATTTTTACCATAACTTGCAAGTTACTATTAATTAAAACAAGAGAGCTACAAGCTGTACTCAGCACCCTACCACACAGATAGAAGCAGGCCATATGGAGAAGAGACAGCAGCGCTGCAAAGACTCGTTCACTGCCAAA